ATAAACTTTAATACCTACACAATCCGAAATCTCAAGCTTGATCGATCCAAAAATCACCCATGTCAAGTTCAGAAGGATAACAGCATAAGGTGGCATGCTTTTCAATGGGGAAGTGGCATCGGCTTCTATTTCAATTACCTGCAACCCACGGAAATGTCTGACTGCAGAATATGGTCTTTATATTCATCGAGGGTTATTTTTTGCAAGTCATACATTGGCTTTTTTACTTATAACTCTCTCTCTCAAAGGATGCTTTCCATAAATGCTTGCAGAAGGTCTTCGCTCCTAATGTTAAAATTTGAGGGAATCACTACTGAGAAGAGACGTAATGTAATGATATGCTTCAACCTCACAGATCAAATCGCACTTTTTCTCCGGCAATATGTGTGATGAATTTCGCAGCGGCTGAGTATCATATCATCCTTTTTTCTGTAGTGTGAGGTCGATTGGCATCTACAGTTTTGGGTTGGGTTTCTCCTAGTACAATTGATGGTTTCCTCTCTCTTGCTCTTTTGGGTATGAGAATGAACAAGGAGGTTAAAGGTCTATATGGGCCTTTTTTTATTGGGATGTGGGTGATTTGATTAGAGAAAATGCCAAAAAATATTAAATGGATCAATGTTCCCCTCTTGTGACTTTTGAGGAAATCTATCTTTCATGGATTCTCTATCGGCTAAAACAGGTTTTTTAAGGATTTATCTTTATCTGTATTATATAGACATAGGCTAGCTACTTCACAAGATTAGTTGACCTTTTTTTTTCTCTCTTTTCTTTTTTGAGGACACTTAATCCTCTCTATTTTGAACTCTGTTCTTCCCTTCACTAATATTTCTTTTTCTATCAGCAAAGGGAAAAAACAAAAGGGAAAAAGAAAATTGAACTATAGAAGAGATGATTAATATTTCCTTTTCTCCCTAACAAATGTGTAACGGAGCTAAGCAGCTAAAAGCCTTGATCTTATCCTTTTGTGAATTTCTTGGACAAAACAAGCATGGGGCAGGGACTCTTGGCTTGGAACATATTTTGAAGGTGTCCATTCTACTGAAGAGGGGATTAACAACAGTTATAATGCTTTTATTTCAAAAAAAAAAATAGTTATAATGGCTGCATGTGCATGAAAGAAAAGCAGCTAGAAGCCTAGACTTATCCTTTATACTTTTAGACAAAATTGGCTTGAGGGAAGGGCCTCTTGGCTTAGAAGTGTATTTTGATAACATACAACCTATGGAAGAGGAGATCAACCGTAGTTAGTGGCTGCATCTGTATGGTTACAGAGCAGCTGAAAGCCCTGGCCTCATCCTTTTCTTGGTCTTTTATACAAAATGATCTTGGGGCACGGGATGCTCATCCTTGCTTGAAATGGTAGTAGCAAACAAGGCAGTGCATGAATTATGGGCTTCAAAATAGATTCAGTATCTAAGGACTTGAGGAAGCCATTGCAATTGCCTCGGGGTATTAGACTATAGTATATGGGTGGCACCTCCATGCCATAGCTAATATTATTTTCCTACCAAAAAGTATATTAAAAAATTTTAAAACTAGTAGATGAGATATAAATTTGAACTACTAACAGGTCCTATCAGAACAATCACATGACATGAAAGAACTTTCGTATTACTTGCATTATTAGTTTCTGTTTGGTTAATAATGAAAAGCAATTTACATTCTAGCAAGTAATCACCA